ATCTTTACTGTCTGCTGTATAAATGTCTGTCTCATCAAAGATAAAGGCATAACCTGGCTGAATTCTTTTCATGTAGTGAACTTCAAATTCATGTTCTTTCTTGCCTACAACTTCAGCAACATAGTGTTTAAAACTGTATTTTTTTTGCCATGAACTGTTACTAATACAAAATCTCCAATGCCAATATTAAAATCTTCTACTTCTTCAAGTTCCAAATCCTCAAAGTCAGATTCGTTTGAAGATTCTTTCCATCCTTCCTCCTCTTCAGTTGAGCTGTATTGTAATTGATTGTAAATTTTTGTTTGTTTATTTCTCGCTCGCTTCTTATCATTAAGTCTTTTTCTCTTTTTTAATTTTTCAATTGTTGCATTTTCGATTCTGTTTTTCACTGGTGTATCTGTAAGATCTTCTGATTTTGTAGGTTGTCGCTTTGTTAATTTTTTCTTTTTTGGATCAGCCTTAGGAAAAGGCTTTACCATCTCTGGTGTCATTTCTTGTCCTGCAAAATTTTCTTGAACTGAAGATTCTGTGGAGGACTTATTCCCTTTTTCCTGTAACACACTTTGTGCTGGAATGTTTTCCAATGAATGTTCTACATCCAACAAATTATCAAATGCCCTCGATGGACCTGGAATTGCAAGATTTTCCAGAGAGGCCTCTGCATTAGGCTGGACTAATGTAGCTAGAGAAGTACCTTCTTGAAAAATACGAGGTTGATCTTCAACTATGACATTTTCCATTGGAACATCTGTAACATTAGAGGCAGTAAAATCTTCATCTTTATAGATATTTTTATCAAAAGGAAAAATTCCTGTCGATGAAAAACCAGACAGGATATTACTTGTAGAGAATGCAAGGGGATATGACTTCCCAACAAGACCTGCAATTTCATGGATAGTAATGCGATTTCCGGGGTTATTTAACAACCAGGCTCGACAAGCATCATTATAATATTTTTTAAATGGGCCGAAAACTGTTTTGTCAAGCGGTTGTAGCTTGTGGCTACAGTGGGGANTCAACAAAATTACACCATTGTCTTTTGCCAAATCTATGACTTCAATACTTACATGACTGTAGTGGTTGTCCATGATTAAAAGTGT